AGTTAATCAATCCCACCCATAGAAACTGTATATTACAAAAAAAACAATATATTTTTATAACTGATTTTATTTACATATTTTTCGTGGAACACTGACTTTACTAGACAAACAGTAATTTTTCTTACACGATAAAGTAATCTTTTTGTGAAAATATGTCGTGTTCCTAGTACCCCGAGAAATCTTCCTCCCGTTGAGTCTATTTAGTTTAATTTAACTTTATTAATCATCAACTTATTTAAAAATATCTTCCCATCAACTATTTCAGCTTTATAAATTTCATTTGTACAACTGGTCTACTCTAGAACATAGATACGACAAGTCGATATCCTTATGGGTCTTGTTGAACATATGAATTCTAATATTAATTTGAAAATTCATTTTAATTTTCTCCCACTACAAACTACCTCAAGTTAATGAGGGAAAAATTTGTTGCTGTTGTCACACCCTTGCCGGGAATCGAACCCGGGATCTTTGGCTTTACGTACCAATGCTCTGATCAGTAAGCTTAGTCGGTGACACTCGAATTCGGCAAGGGTGTAACAACAGCAACAAATTTTTCCCTCATTAACTTAAAGTAGTTTATTGTGGGAAAAAAATAGAATGAATTTTCACATTAATTAATATTTGATATTAACCCCTATTAAATGTCAAAGTGTTTCATAATTATAATAAGAACATTTTATTTAAAGCTATCTGTAACTCCTCCTTGCTATTAATATTAAATTAGTCCTGTTGTCACTGACTTACTATTTATAAAATTACAAATATGAATTTAAATTGAAAACATTTTATGTACAACCCAATAGGACAAGTATTTTTTATTAAATGTTAATCAAAAAGAAACGCGAAAGTATGATGTAATGAGGGTTTTATTCATATTTACAAAATGACGATCATGAGGGAGAAATTATTCAATAGTTGGGTATTCTACTTGACCATCATGAATAAGAAAATAAATTAGGAGTACAATAGGTATGCAGATTATGCATCAGACATCTAAAGACAAAATTGCTAGTTTCGCAATTAAGTAAATTTGTCAAAGTCAAATAAGACTAAGAAAAACGTGAAAAGATCAAGTAGGTTAACAATGTTATTTATGCAGGCAAAAAAAAAACGCTTATGCTACTTCACCTAATTTGCTTGAACCAACATCAAATACAGAAAATTTTAATTTGTGTACATTACGGCAACTCCAGTAAATTCGATAACTACAGTTATAAAGTACATATGTATCTACATATATATGTTTACCATTACCACTCATGAGTAATAAAAGTATTTCACAATTCAGTATTTGATTCTACGAATATGTAAATTTATTTGGCCATATATTAATCAAAATGTAAATTTTTACGGTACTTTTTCAAAAATAGACCATCAGTAACTACAATATGTATGTACCAGTAAAATTAGAGTAAAGTAACGTTAAAGGCAAGTAGTTCAACAAAAAAGAGTTTCACATGCATATATACCTTTTATTGAAAGTGTTGTTGGTACTAACCAATGAAAATGCAAAACTCAACTAGAAAAATAAAAAACTAAAAATATTTATAATTACTTATAACATTAGGTAACGACGCAGAAGTCATTGAAAAAGGTATGTTATGGAATAGGTTTGCAATGGGTTAATAATTGCTGGAATCGTGGACCAGCTAGTATCAGCCTGTTTATCCCGACATGGTAAATAAATCTATTCTCTGCTTCTTCCCCTTGGTTTTATATACGAAAAAAGAATCAAAACTAATATGGGTAGTAATGTTTTATTTGGATCTATAGGCCTTGATTCTTTTTCAATGTTAATGAATACTTGAACCCTAGCATAGAAGAATTGGGTCACGAGGTACATCATTATTAGAGCAAGAAGAACTAGAAAAACATAGTGGTAGCTCAGTTTTGTAACTATTACGACTAACAAAATAATAAGTAATTTACCGAAACTGTTAAACATGGATAACGATTTCGATTTTATTTACTTTCGTCAGAATACATGACAATCTCGATAAATCAAACCGAAGATGCTCGATTTAACCATGTTTGTTCTAATGATATGATTGATATTCGTTGTTAACTATCTATCTATTTCAAATATTACACGGGAGCCTTACGATAGTTTAAAGATATAAGTAGAAGACTTGTAAGAAATTACTACAAATAGCGTAATAAACGCCATCTGTAGTATATTGCTACCTTTAGTGGAATCCAAAAACGTTCAAGAAGGTCCATAAGGATATCGACTTATCAAACCGAATCCACATTGTAGCTAACCCTAGGTGATAGTGATAGGCACATAACCACACAGGACCTCATCCTACATCCAATGTTACAAACTTTACCCCTTTATAATGCACGCCAGTGAATGTAAGGTGGTAAGAGCAATGACAATGATGATTCCACAATATGATTGACTCTTTATTTCTGACTATACACTTACCCGTCAATCTGACCTTCAATGAATCTCCTTACAGGTCAAAAAGTTCATGGTGGTC